ACACACACACACACACACACACACATATATACACACACGCGCGCGCACACACACAGACACACACACACATATATATATATACACACGCGCGCGCACAAACATACACAAACTCACACACACACACACGAACACACACACACGTACACACACACACACAAACACACACACAAACACACATATATATACACACGCGCGCGCGCACACACACATACACAAACATACACACACACACACACACACACACACACGAATACACACACACACGTACACACACACACACACACACACACGCGCGCACGCACATACGCACATAAACACCATAATGACATCATGTAAACATATTGGTTGAGGTAGTATAGTAATTCCCACATTTACATGAGTTTAGCGTCATTGGAGCAACGTTCAGTGATATGATGTCAAGTCTGACTTTTCACACGTTTCCCTACAACATGCATACCTATCTCCTAATCGTGCCTTTAACTATTACACTATTGTTTTCACTCAGGCGAGCCAGGCTTACTTATTGCACCCATTACAACAGAACGGCCCTTCTATGGCTACAAGGGGAAGAAGGAGGTGTCCGAAAAAAAGATCCTACGGAATGTCTTCAAGGAAGGTGACGCGTACTTCAACACGGGTGACTTGATGAGAGTTGACAAAGACTACTACGTGTACTTCGTCGACAGGCTAGGCGATACCTTCAGGTAACAAGCGAATTCAGACACACACACACACACACACACACACACACACACACACACAAACGATTACCTCCATTTTTTCATGTACGTTTCATGCTATATATAAATAGTAACGAACAGTAGCCGGTCTGGCCGAACCTTGCTCTAGACCTACTCCTAACTATATTTGGGGACCATTTTCGGCTATGTGTGACAAAGTCATAACACTGCACAATTATGTTGTTACACTATAATGATCACTGTACTAGAGCTAGGTTATTCGTTTTCGAAAAAGGTTTAGACACTTTGGTATCAGTAGGAAGCCTCGAAAACACCTCCATATTCACAACAGAACAACTATTTCAATCACTCTTCAAGCAGCAGTCTTTGTCTGAGCATACATGTAAGTCTAAGTTGTCTAAGAATATACATCCTCACACAAATCTGTTTTTTCCTGTTTACTTCTTTAAGGTGGAAGGGAGAAAACGTTGCCACGACTGAGGTCAGTCAAGCCATAACCGAGATCGAAGGAGTCCAAGAGGCCAACGTGTATGGGGTGAAAGTACCCGGTAGGGCAAACACGTGCTGTCTTATCAGTTTCACCAGTTGTGCATATTCATGTAGTGCATGTCCTTTTGTTGGGCCATGAAGGGGGAGGGTATCCAAAGTTCAGTAGGGTGCAAAGTCCAACAGGGTTTTTATAATTACTGTTTTGGAGATATGCATGGTTGGATGGCTGTCTGCATGTGATAAGGACAGATGGATATGCATGCCTAAACCTTCATGTAAATAACTGCAAGGTCGAAGTATTTGTCGACGTTTTTAAGCCAAAAAGATAACGTACGACTGAAAAAAATGGTACGAGCTTGACTACTGCAGTTCGATGGGTTTAAGCCAAAAAAGATAACGACTGAAAAATTGGTACGAGTTTGACGCCTGCAGTTCGATGTTTTTAAGCCAAAAAAGATAAGGACTGAAAAATTGGTACGGGTTTGACTACTGCAGTTCGATGTTTTTAAGCCAAAAAAGATAAGGACTGAAAAATTGGTACGGGTTTGACGCCTGCAGTTCGATGGGTTTAAGCCAAAAAAGATAAGGACTGAAAAATTGGTACGAGTTTGACGCCTGCAGTTCGATGTTTTTAAGCCAAAAAAGATAACGACTGAAAAATTGGTACGAGTTTGACGCCTGCAGTTCGATGTTTTTAAGCCAAAAAAGATAAGGACTGAAAAATTGGTACGAGTTTGACGCCTGCAGTTCGATGTTTTTAAGCCAAAAAAGATAAGGACTGAAAAATTGGTACGGGTTTGACGCCTCTAGACTGACGAGCGAACGTACGGGGAACGCGACATTCGAAACGTGTATACCGGATAACAACTGACAAGTGAACCTAAATCTTTGTTTGCAAATTGGAGTTAAGGAAAATTCTGACGGTTTCTCTAAATTTGTGCGATCCTGACCTCTTTATTATTATTTAAAAATCAAAATCTCTAGGTCACGAAGGTCGAGCTGGAATGGCCGCCATTGTTCTACATCCGGAACATCAGCCGAACTTCCAGAAGTGGTACGCCCACCTGGCGTCCCGCCTGCCATCCTACGCCAGACCGCTAGTCCTCCGACTCACCAAGGAAATGGAGATCACCGGGACCTTCAAACAGAAGAAGGCAGGTTTGGTGAAGGAAGGATTCGATCCCTCTGTTGTCAGTGATCCAATGTATTTCAGAGACGACTCTAAGAAGTCGTTCGTTCCACTAGACACTGAGGTTTTCAAGAAAATTACACTGGGCAGTGCCAAGCTTTAAGCTAACTTTGTGCAGGCTCATGTCTAGATGTGACTAATGATCGATATTCAGTTGTACGTCTTTGGACAGATAGTGTAATGGGCACTGGATCGATTATTTGCACGTTTCGCAAAGAGATCATCACTTTTACATAAAACTAGTAATACAAGATCTTCAATCTTCAACCTAGCAGAATCTACAATCCATTAGGACAATGTACGATGAACTGTAATCTAGGAGTAACTTTAAGTAAAGAGAAAAGTAGAGAGCGTATGGGTTTACCTTAGTGTGCTCTGGCTAATTTTGGGTACAACTCAGGTCCGTATTTCTAGTCAGTATTATTATCCTTATCTTTTATCAGTCATATCCAGTATCATATTACCAGAAATGCACAAGTCTAGAGTTATTACACGTTTGGAGTGTATTTTTACCGGAGGTTTTTTTTAATCTCACTCCGTAATTTGGTGCCAAGCTTTGGGTCTTTTATCAGTCATAGCTAGTATCATACCATCACAAATGTAGTAGTTTAGAGTTATTACACCATTCGAGTGTATTTTTACCGGAGATTTTTTTTAATCTCACTCCGTAATTTGGTGCCAAGCTTTGGGTCTTTTATCACGCGTGCCTTGGGGTAATGCGAATGACGTCAACCAAGAAACATTCCGATGATTTGAAAGTACATGTATGCGTCTTATCAATTTTATGATTATACTCGATCACTGAGCAAGTTGGGAAAGAGAAGGAGGCAGATAGGCACGAGAAGAAGTGATTTCTCTTATCATAGATGCATTTTAAACGAGAACAGGGTAAAGCTAACAGACATATCATTTTATATACTATATATATATATATATATATATATATATAACATGAAGCCAACTTTGGAAACAGATTGAATAATACAACAATAATAAATACTATATTGAATATGTTTACTATATTCAAATTATTGCTGTTAACGTATATATCTATATATATGCTTTTCCAAAAACATGAAACCAAACTTTGGAAACTGAATAAGACTTTAATAGAAATTGACGAATAGAATGAATAATGGTAATATTTTAAACGACAATCATCTTTATAATTCCTTAAACGGTATAAAACTCAGATATATTTTATGTATTATTATGCATTTAGTGTACTATCTGTACAATTATTGTGCACGATAATAAATTTGTAAATGTAAGTTCAAACGATATGTTGAATATGTAAAAAACTAGAAATGTAACATTTAGAAGGCAAATGCATTATGTTTACCTACAAATGGTCTAGCCTAAAAGGCTACTGCTCTGGGTTATAGGATTTTCTTCTAACACAACCAGTAAGGTTCTCACCTGCTTAAGTTTCGATGTCTATCAGACACCTTCCTCAGAGCTTCTGACTGGATCCGGAGTTCTGCAACTCCGAAACGTAAGCAGGTGAGAACCTTACTGGTTGTGTTAGAAGAAAATCCTATACCCTAAGTATCTTCCAACCTGATGAAATTATTTACGGAGGCTACTGCTCTGTTTATTACGCAGATAAAACCATACATGAAATAGGTTATGCTACATGTAATAATCACATTTTAATGATCAATTATACAGATAAATAAACAACAAAAAATACAAAGATTCTAAATATTTCATCTTTGTGTGTATCTTGTATTTTTAGAGTTATGTGTTTATTAGTTTTAATTCTTTGTTGTCAAGTTAGTTAGTACAATAGATAATGATTGTTTTTTATTAAAACATTTTAATTCAGGTAACTGGAATTATTTAGTGAGCAACCTGAGAAAATGAGTATTTCGACCCTGCTTGATGGATAGAAGTCACATTGTAAAAGTAACCAGTTACGTCTACGGGCTGGGAAGTAACAAATACTCTGGTTAAAAAAATTGTTAGCAAACGAATCCAATTATCACAGTTTTCCAATTCCATCAAGGAAGTGATATGTTTCCCGTAGGCCACAGCAAGTAATTTTTATGGATGACATCAGCGCGCGCATTAATTTTCGCCTGATTTTGAAACAAAAAAGAGAATTTTGTTGCCTTCTGACGGTGTTCAACATGCCAAAAATGGGCAAAGATGTCTGCTGCCATGCCGGAAGGTGGATGATAGATAACTATGAAGAGAGGGGACAAGAAAAAGCTCTGAATTAATGTTTTGTTTGCTGGCTGTGTATATGTGATGTTTCCACTGAATAAAAACCATTTGTACAATGATTGAGTCAAAATTTTAAAATGTAGGAACCTAGTTTTTTTCGGCCCGCCTTGGTTTTTTTTTCGCCCACTCGCATTAGATTTGGATTTCATCCGTAAAATTTACTTGCTGTGGCCTTACTAACACTCTGATATACCATAATGACCTACTGCCCTGGAAGAGGCAAAGACCTGGAAGTGTCACTTTGAATCAGTGAAACCAAGTGAAAGTGAAAAGGCGGGCGATTTTATGGTTCGGCTGGCCAGAAATTATTCCCAATATACACCCTTCGTAAGGCCACAGCAAGTAATTTTTATGGATGACATCAGCGCGCAATTGGATTTTCGCCTGATTTTGGAAAAAAACAAACAAATTTTGTTGCCCTCTGACAGTGGTCAACATGCAGAAAATGGGCAAAATGGCATGCCTTGCCATGCTGGAACGTGTAATATATGGCAGATAGACAAGAACAGAGGAGACAAGATATATAAGGTTTTGATTTTTTGTTTTGATTTATTTTATTGCAGTGATGCATTTCATTCCTTTTATATGTTCCCACTGAATCAAAATCATTTGCACAGTGATTAAAAACTTTTTCTTGTTCATAGTTGGCAGTAAAGTTAGCACAATATAGGTATCATTTCTTGTTTAACAGGGGTTATGATGTCAAAATTTGAAAATATAGGAATCTTGTGTTTTTGCACATCTTGTTTTTTTTTTCGCCCGCTCGCATTAGATTTGGAGTCTGCGAAGGATGTCATCCATAAAATGTTCTTGCTGTGGCCTAATGCGAATCACTTCGATCTAACCACGAAAGTCGTTCTAAACATTGATTATAAGTTGTGTGGCCATTCGGTGATCACAGACATCATTATAGAAAAGGCTATTAAACATAAGTATGGCCGTGCGTTTGATGCTTATCAATGTGTAATATCTTCACCAGCTTTGGTGATTTCGATTGCAGTAAGACTGCAATTCTGTAGCCCAACGTGCTTTCATAATTTCACTGGCACCTTTGTTTCATTTACTTTTAAATCTCTAGACTTAACAACAAAGCCTATCGCAAGTAACGAATGGCAACATTAGAGATGCCATAAAGGATAACATTTTCTACTTTTTAAGCGCCATAACTCTTTAGCAGATGATGGTTTTACCACAGATAATGCAACAAACGTCTTTCCTGTATGTGGCAACAGCCTCCATCTTTATGTAAGATCTTCAAATGAATGTGTCCGCTTTACTATCTTGGTAGCTCCTTTACTACTACACGGAAGCCCGTGTGATGCGTTTTGTGCTACATGTAATTGCAGTTTACTTGGTTGTGATGTTTGGATTCATACTTGCCTGCACCTTCTCGATCGCATACAAAAGAGAACTAGCGTGGTCATAGGCTATCCTCTGGCCTCCAAGAAAGACCACCTTTCCCATAGACGAAATGTTGCCTCTCTATCCCTCTTTTACAGATATTTTCATGGTCATTGCTCTGCAGAACTCACCCAACTAGTTCAACCACTCAGAACTTTTAAGCGTTCCACTAGGTTCTCCACTAGCTCACACAACTTCACCGTCCAAATTCCTTGTTCGAAATCCTTTTACAGTGACAGTTTCTTTCCCCGTACGGCCAAGCTTTGGAACTCCCTCCCTGACAAGTGTTTCCCACCAACCTACAATCTACAGGCTTTCAAATCGAACGTTCACCGCCATCTCTTGACATAGCCATGTTTCTCTCATATTTCTAGTTCAGGTCGTATAGGCCTTGCATTTAACCACTCCGTTGAAAAAAAAAGACTACTTCTCCACTTGCCATGCTGCCATTCAAACTTGGCTGTGATGGTGATGATTGCAAAGATCACTCCAGCCGTCAACGGATACCCCTGGCAAATGCATTCCCTTTATAGCGCAAGTAAGGCTGTTTTTGCCAGGAGTATTTTTCTTTTATGTGCAATCAGAGTAAAAAAAAAACACTGGCCCGGAAATGCCAGGTCTATCTGGACAGCCATCTGCGAAACAAACCTGTGAAATTTCAAAGGGTGGGTATAAACCAACGGCTTTGAAGACAATTCAAACATAAATGGTGTGTATTCATGAAATGAAAACATCACAAAGTACATTTGGTATACTAGAAGATGGGTTGACAAGAAGCAATAATCAAAGATAGAACTCTCTCACTCTTAAAGACAGGCCAGGGATGAGTATTCACAGCAACCTCTTACGTCCGCGCACTTTAGAAGCGGTCACATGAGACCATATCAGCAAGCGGCAATCTGTAACAGGAACTCGCTGGCTCCGTATGCCAAATTGAGTCCTGATCCAAGCTACAAATCTTCCCCGCCACTTACGCGGAGAGCAATTCCGTTCAAGACGGACTGATCGTCTGAGTGTGTCCTTCTGTGATATTACATCTCCAGTATTGATCTCAACACAGGGTGCGAACAATATACCGAAAATTGAGACGTAAAACTTGGTAAAAACTCACACTTGTGTACTAGCGCATACGAGGGTTACGTCTGCAGATTGGAGTATAGAAAGAAAATGTTTTTACGTCATAAAAAGTTGAAAAATAGACGGAATTGTGGCGACAGCTTACAGTATCGCATTGGTGGCTTCGACGGATGAAATATAAGATTTCATTCTATTGTTGATCCCCCCCTAGCGGAGAGAAGCATTTATGATGTCTCCAGTGTCAGATCTTTCCGATACATTCTCATTTAGGAGTAACAATGATATAGTTCAGGCTATCAATTCGAAGCTCTGTGCTTCGGGTTTTGCCGTGCTACGTTCCTCTAATGTTACGATCAGTCATGACTGCTTCGCTTTGATTTCGTGGGAGAGGCTTTGGCGCCAGTAGTGACTTTCCTTAAGCTCGTCTCTGCTTGAGAACGCGAATGTGCGTAACACACATAAAACGTTTCGGATGCCGGAAAATAGGACTGTGTGTATATATAGCAGCGGGTATAAGTGCGTATCCTGCAGGCTTTGGAATTTATAGCTGGGTACTTCCA